ACTGGCCCTTCATGTCGCCCGCCCCCGGCCCCAGCACCTATAACTTACAAAGTTGATTCCTCCATGACTATCATTCTCTCTTGTATGTCCCAGGGATGAACTTCAAGAGTCACCTCCACTTCCACGTCTTCCATGATGCCTATTTGATTAAATCTGGCCAGAAGTAATACTCCTACCTTAAATATAGAAACTTGCCTGATTAATTTTTTAACCTTGTTCCATAGTGGGGACTCAATAATAAATAGCTTATTAAATGTTTGAATATATGAACAATATACATGAATGCGTGAATCCATGAATATATGAGTACATCTCTTTAAATACCACTCGTTAATATATGAAAGCAATCCTTGAATTTACGGTATTCATTTAAGGTTGTATTCAGGTTGCTACTCTAAAAGTTCTTAAAATGGTACTTTTGAAAAAGAAAGACAAAGATTTCTGACTTGCACAAACATTTATCTACATCTAAGGTAGCTCAGGGAAGCAATCACATAATTTTCATACTCACAGATGAAAATTTTTATAGTGGTCATACAGGGGACATGAGAAACAGCGGGTCAAAATGAGCAGGTTTCCAGCATGGTGGGGAGGCTTTATTTAAAAGGAGTAAATTACGGTACTTGCAGCAGCTAAATTTTCCACCAACGTGAGACAAATAAACTCCTTCTGGAAATTACTCTTATGAAATTACTTCTTCCAGGACACTTAATAGTATATTCTAGTGCCCCTGAAAAATTAATTAACCTTACTCGCAACAACCTAACCCCTAAACCATCTGTGGTGTGTTTTTACTGGAGGTCAGCTTAATCTTCTCTACCTTAATTTACATCTAAGTGAGGGTGGTCTAAATTACACGGGGGACTTTCAGTTGCTGGTATTTTGCCTTGTGCCATTTCGTTAGATGACATTCTGCTCATGTCCAAAGGTATGAGTCTCTTTTAATATGGTAAACCTCTGAGATTAGCAGGGAGAACTTTTTAAGCAGCGGGTGCGGGGGGTTGTGTGTGGCGCCAACACCGCTGTCCTCATTAGGGGTTAAAACACAGCCACAATAAGAGGAATGTACTCAGGCTGTAATCCTACTCTGTTTACTTTTTCTGAGAAAGGCTAGATTTTCAGAGCCTTAGGACCACAGAGCTACAGGAGCCAGGATCTAGGACTGGATTGTAAGTCAACAGCAGGATTTACCAACCCACTCCCCCCTTCTTTTCAAATCTAAATTTTAATTTTTAATTTAATTTTTTTTTTCTTTGAGACAGGATCTCACATTGTTCCAGGCTGGAGTACCGTGCCACGATCACAGCTCACTGCAGGCACAACCTCCTGGGCTCAAGGGATCCTTCTGCTTCAGCCTCCCGAGTACCTGGGACTACAGGCATGTGCCACCACTTGCAGCTAATGTTTTCATTTTCTTTTTCAGAAATGGAGTCTCACTATGTTGCCCAGGCTGGTCTCAAATTCCTGGCCTCAAGTGATCCTCTCACCTCAGCCTCCCACAGTGCTGGGATGACAAGTATGAGCCACCCTTAGACTATCTTTTTTTAAATCCAAAAGATACCTAAAATTATACTCAAGTCATTATCCGGAGACAAAAAAAAGTTACTAAAAATGTCACGAGCGTTGAGCTATCACTGGGACCTCTGGTTACTTGCTGTGGGAGCAAAATCCTCCTTTGAAGGTTCTAGAATCTTAACTCTTAAGCTGTGGGCGTTTTATTTTTAAGGACAGACACATAGCATTGCTATTTCTATAAAATATTTCTGAACCAGCCAAGAATAGGAAAATATTACAAATAATCGTAATTATTTGGTGTTTTAGCAAACAGAATCATTAACACTTATTATTAATAATGATACACATATCAATGATGAGGAGGCAGTGAACGGCTACAAACGCATTATGACACAAATAATGTGGAAAGAAAAAATATTTCCTCTAAAAGATAAAGCAACAGTATCTCTTTGCTTAAAAGATTGCTAATCACCCAAAAGTGTGTCCCCCACTCCCCACTGCCACTGGCCCGAAGGGGCGATTCATCTTCCTTTGTTAGCTGCTCTCTGATAGGCTTTGTCCTCCCAAGTGTGCGCTGCTTTCAGTTGGAATTGATCACAGATGCGACAGTGATGAGGCCATCCCGGACGCTGACAGCCACGGCGTAAATGCTTCCTTGTTCCCACCCAGCGCTGTCGGAGGATGGGATAGGAACAATGAGAGCTAATGATGCAACTCTGGAAGCTATCATTTTGAATCAGTCCGTGACTTACACCGCCCTTGTGAAAATCAAGCCAGGCTCATGGTCCCTTGCAGGTTAGCAGGCCCAGGTCCACCCTGAGGCTCAGCAAGCCCAGAACAGACAGAAAGCTTTGGATCTCCACGTGGACGTTGGATGCCGGCATGGCATACCCACCATCCAAGACATGCTCCAAATCACACAGGGGGTCACGGTGATCCAGGCCAGCCTTACAAGCAGCCATATGAGGCTGGCTGCAAAGACCCAGCCTTGCTTTCTGGCCAGTGTGGAACCAATTAACGTCAGGGTCTCTCTCTAGAAATTCTCCCCACATGTTCTTGGGGAGTAACCTTTCTGCTCAAATCCCAGATATGTCCTGGCTTCTACCACTCCATGAACTTATGGTCTTATGATCAGGCTCTCAACCCTGTTGGCTTATCTGGGTCTTCTTACTCAGCGATAAGAAGTGGTCTTCTTACCACTCCACGTGCTATTATGAGTGATTTAAAGCAATGACTATGCATTATTTTCCACGAGCCTTTGGGTCAGATGGGTGGTTCCGGTTCTGCTAATCTAAGCTCAGCTCGGCAAGGCTCCCTCATCCGTATGCAAGAGAAAGCTTGCAGAGTCTAGCTTAGTTTAGCAGAACCACCCATCTGACCCAAAGACTCATGAAAAACAATACATCGTTGTTGCTTTAAGTTCCACATTTTGAGTTGGTTTGTTACCCAATAATAGCTAACTGACACAGCTGGTTAGTCCATTTAGCTGAGAGCACAGTGTTTAGGGCAGACAATCATGAGGTTGGAAAGGCAGGCTAGGCCAGGCTGCAGAGTTGAGATGTTAAGTGGAAGACAGTGGACAGCCACTTGGGATTTTTGAGCACGGCACAAATGTGATGAAACAGTACTCCAAAAGCTTTATTCTATAGTAGCAGGATGAAGATGAGAATAAAGGAAAGACAGTCAGGGAGGATGGAAAACCAGGAGAGGAGCCCTCCTGACAAGAAAATGAGGGCCTGAACCATGCCAGAGGCGGTAGCTCCCGAGGTGTGAAAACTCTGCAGAAAGAGTTGAGTGAAAGACCACATGTAGATGGAGACAGAAGGTTGACAGTGGTTGACAGCTCCAAGGTTTTAAGCCTGAAAAGCTGAGAGGGTGACAAAAAAAGAAGGAAGAAAGCAGGAAGAGTTGGCGATGCCATGCTTGAGAAGTCCACGGAGTATTCAGGGCAAGGGAAGCTGGGGCTCTGGGAAATGTGGGGTGTAACTCGGCAGATGGAACCCTGCAGGGGAAAATACTTTGAGAGTATTTTATGGAGGTAATGATTAAAGGCATGAGTCTGAGCAAGAGAAGATGGAAATGTGGATGTCTATTGTTTATCTATTGCTGTGTAATGAATTACATCAAACCTAGCAGCTTAAGACTCAGAAGTCTGAAAACAGTTGAGCTGGGTGGTTCTGGCTAATGGTCTCTCACGAGGCACCCATGAAATGCTGGCCAGGGCCGTTGGCATCTGAAGGCTTGACTAGGGCGGGAGAATCTCCTTCCAGGATGTCTCACCCAAGTGGCTGATGGCTGGAGGCCTCAGCTCCACACCACGTGAACAGTGTGGATAGCTGCTTGAGTGTCCTCATGACATGGCTGCCAGCCTCCTCCAGAGTAAATGACCCAAGAGAGAGCGTAAGGGACAAGTCTCATGTCTTTTATGACCTGGATGTAGAAGTCACATACCCTCACTTCTGTATTCTATTAATCAGACAGACTGATCCTGATACGACACGGAAGACGGTTACACAGGGGCATGAATACCAAGGGATAGGGAACATTTGGTGCATTCTTGGAAGCTGGCTGCCACACTGGGGTGGCAGAACAAGACAAGCAAAACTTTGAAAAATATGAAGTTTGTTGGGAAGACAAGACTCCCACACAAGAAGAGATCAGGCTCTCAAACCTGTTGGCTCATCTGGGTCTCTCTATAGGTCTTTGATCCCTTCCAGAACACCCTGCCTCCAGAACTATCTATCTGGTAGAGGAGGAGCTTTTCTCTCTATGCTACTGCTTTGCAGACTTTCCATGTACCAGGTAACGTGCCAAGATTTCCCTGAGGTTGACATGATCGTGTCACTGTTTTAAAGGGAAGAAAACTGAGGCTGAAGTCTCCAGCCCAAGTTCTCATAGCCAGTGTTATGTGGAACTGGCCATGAACCCAGGTTGTTCAGCTCCAGGGTCCTCACTATTTATTTTTTGAGATGGAGTCTTGCTCTATTCCCCAGGCTGGAGTGCTGTGGCACAATCTTGGCTCACAGCAACCTCTGCCTCCTGGGTTCAAGTGATTCTCCTGTGTCAGCCTCCTGAGTACCTGGGACTACAGGCATGCCCCACCACACCCGGCTAATTTTTATATTTTTAGTAGAGACGGGGTTTCACCATGTTGGCCAGGCTGGTCCTGAACTCCTGAGCTCAGGTGAAACACCCACCTCCACTCCCAAAGTGCTGGAATTACAGGTGTGAGCCACTGCACCTGGCGCAGGGTCCTCACTCTTAACCTCTCTGTCAACATGCCTAGAGAGCAGAGGCCTGCATACTGCAGTTAAAACCTCCCAACAACATGAACCCACAGAAGCAACAAGAGGAAATCTGAGGAATGTCCCAATGATGCCAAAGCAGCAGCAGGAAAGGGAAGCGGAAGAGACCGATGTTCATTGAGCCACTCCTCTGTGGCAGGCACAGTCCAGGTAAAGATGGAGAAATTGAGGTGCACTTACCATCCTTGGGATCTGCTTTGTTCTCAGTGGGCTGCTCGACAAACTTCAGCAGTGGGGATCTCGACCTCTGTCCACTAGGAAGAGTGGGGTCGCTGAACAGTATGGTGTCCTTTCCCCCTGTTGCGGAAAAGGGGAAAATGGATGTCTTATATCATCAGTGGAGCTGGGTTACATTTAGGCCCACACACTTAACTGGCTCAGGGCTGGCTGCCCACAGACACTACCATTGAAGGGAAGCCTGCTACGACTGCTGACATCCTCCATACTTCTTTACACTATTGCACCATCCTAGCCCTAGCCCTTGCACACACATACACACACACACAATCCTTATCATTAATTTGGTATTGAATTATAGGCCATTTCTTACTTTCCTCTCACTGCTTGATGTATATTCACTTTGCTTCCCTAAGTGGACCACAGGTTCTTGGAGGGGGCAATAAGCATGTCTAGAATGCCTGGTACAGAACTGAATTCACAAAGTCAATGCTCAAAAGGGTAACAACACATTGGTGGGCTATTACTGGAAGAGACACTGATTCTTCCCAGGTGTTGGTAAATGAGAGAGAGTTGGCAATTTTTTGATGTCATTGGAACTCTGCTCTCCAGTTGGCTAAACACTATGATTTGACTCCTACTTTGGGAAAGAAAGAAGAGGAAGAGGAAGAGGAAGAGGAAGAGGAGGAGGAGGAGGAGGAGGAGGAGGAGGAGGAGGAAAAAATTGTATTGTGTCTTATTCCACCATTCAGTAGTTTAAGTGGAGACACAAAAAAACAATGAGCAGACAGAACAGACTGATCTGATTTATACTAGAAGAGGCTCTCTTTCCCTTTACTTTCAACATGGTTTGAAAATATCTTAACATGTTTCTTCATCATAACACCCTTCACCACTGCAGAAGGTCAATGCTATTGCCATGACATAAACTGTATCAGATCTGGGGAGCTGCCACTGTTTCCTGTCCTCCCATTTTGTATCTATGTGGAGACCAGAGATTAGAACAAACAGGGCCACAGCATAAAATTCATTCAGCCAAGTCCCCAAAGCTAATTTCATCCTTTAATATTTGTTTTGTACTAATTGAATTCTCTATTTCAATTGACTATTCTAATCAGAAAAGTTCAAGGAAAGGTAGATAATGCATTTCTACTTATTTACATGCAGGGATGACATAATGCACTGCTGATGTTAGCCACAAAAACAAGATATTTTAAACAGAACATACTCCCAAATCCTACTGAAACATTGTAGCTCAGGCCTTCAGGCAGCAAAAGGAAAAAAGGAAATAGTTGTTATTGCATAATAGCCATTTGAAGTTGTACCCAGACCAAACAAAACCACAGAAAATTCTCGGCATTTGTTCACTCAAGTAACTTCCATCTTTTAATATAAATTGTAGAAACGAAACAGTGAGAAATTTCACCAAGTCATTTTGAGAAAAAGAAAATCAAAACCCCCATACACGCACAGACATGGCAATCTCAATGTACAAATACATGATCAATTTGCCCAACTGTGTTGAAATTCAATGCAATAAAAGAAAGGCCTTCCTAGAAGATGAGGCTTTAACAGCGTCAAAAGATTCTTGTGCAGAAATGGATCATTCAAATCCCCAGGACTGTACCTGGCAGTAATTAGTTCTGTTAGGTCTTTTGACATCAAATTTAAGGAATCACGGCTAAAAATTCCAATTCTTGAAACATACATCCAGGCAACCTAAAGCAGCGATTCAGGTTTACATTTCAGAAAATGTGTTGTTGGCCACCTGCCTCCCTGTGCTGACTTTTACTTATCGTCCATTCCAGGGAAGCACCCATATGATTCAAGGATGAAGGAGACTGGTTTGTGCGGAAGGTGAAGTAACTAAAACTATAGGTACAACATGGTTTCCAGGGAAAGGGGAGATGGTGGAAATGGTAAATACAAGTTTCTGAAGAGTAAAAAGTCAACGGGAATGGCTGACTGGGGTCTCACAAAAGGAGTATTTTACCAAGACAAGTGGGATAAATACAGCTAATTAAAGTAGAACACCAGAGCTTCCAAATACAGTGTACAACTGGAAAAAAAAACACAGGAAATTCAGATTTTCAGACTAAGTAAAAACGGGATGGGGGAAGGGAAGAGAAGGAGGTGGTGGAGTACATTTTGGGTTAGAAAAATTGTCGGTTTTTATATTCATTTTTAGTACTGGTGATTAAATTGGACAAATCTTTGTATGTTCTTAGATTCAATTTTAGGACTGGTGATTAAATTGCACAAATCTTTATTAAGTTCTTGTATTAACTTTTAGGGCTGATAATTAAATTGAACAAATTGAATAAATCTTTATAGGATATCTACAGATTAAAAGAAAGGAAACAATTCACTACATTCACAAAAGTTAAAAAAATATATAGACACAGTGACAATTTCAGAATTCAGGTTTGCTAAACTTCACAGTTCCACAGATGAGACCCTGAATATTTATTGCATTTTTCTGATTCTACCCCCAGCCTGCCACGTAGTTTCTAAATTTAGAACACTTGTAGATTTTTTCAGCAATGATCTACTTTAAATAAGGTAGAATAAAAGGACTTTAAAAAGGTAGAAGATTCTTGTAAATTATGTGGGAGCTTCATTTCTTAAAAAAGGAAAATAGTTTTCATGAAGTTCTGTTTACCTGGAAGACTCCACAAACCAGAAACTTCCAGAGTTCTTAATTTTTTTTCCAGCTCAGCCACCCGATTCCCTAGGATTCTGAAAAAAGGGGAGAAGATGACAGTCGATTATTGAGCCTCCTGTCAGCCCGCAGCCCTGGAGATCCCACTGGTGCCCTAGTAGAAAAGTTTTGAGATTTATGATATATGCTAAAAACAGAGCATTTGTATGTATGTGTGTGTAAATAATATGTGCTCTATTGCAAGTGCATATGCAAATAGAAAGTACATGAATGATTAAAAACAATACTCAAATACCATGAAAGTGAGCCCTCTCCCCAAAGGTAGTTTTCCTGGGAAGCTAAACGATGACTCCACCGCTGCCCAAATCATTTGATGGAATCTCTATTTAAGAAATGCTCATTGCAAAGAAGACAATAAATTTTGAATGCCCTTAATAGTATCACACCTTGATTCTTTGAGGGTGAATCTGATTTTTGGAAACAATCAGGTCTAAAAAATAAGATGGATGGACATGCTTGGTAATGTTGTTTTGAGTCAATAAATAATACCATCAGCCTTCTTAGACCCATGTCTTACTGATGTCCACATTCTTGATATTTAGCACAATGCCTGATACATGGGAAGTATTTGATAAATATATTTGATTAAATAAATGCCTTTCTTTTTTCATGACTCATAATTAGCTATGGGAAGAATGAAAAGAGATATTTCTTTTTTTTTTTTTTTTTTTTTGAGACGGAGTCTGGCTCTGTCGCCCAGGCTGGAGTGCAGTGGCCGGATCTCAGCTCACTGCAAGCTCCACCTCCCGGGCTTACGCCATTCTCCTGCCTCAGCCTCCCGAGTAGCTGGGATTACAGGTCACCTCGCCCGGCTAAGTTTTTGTATTTTTAGTAGACACGGGGTTTCACTGTGTTAGCCAGGATGGTCTCGATCTCCTGACCTCGTGATCCCCCCGTCTCGGCCTCCCAAAGTGCTGGGATTACAGGCTTGAGCCACCGCGCCCGGCCGAAAAGAGATATTTCAAAAGAGTTTTCAGTAATTGCAGAATCATTAGAATAATTATATTGTTTTCCAAGGTGACCATTCTGAGTCACTAAGATATATAAAGTCTAGAATGTGTGTATTTGAAAAGACCATAATGTTTACTTGGAAGCCAAACTCTCACTACATGCATGGATAGACATGTGGGCATACAGACTCCCACATCACTCTATAAAAAATTAAATATAGTTGGGAAATGATTTAATAGTCCTCTAAAACTTGAATCACTTCCCATTGGGCTGGAAATTGAAAAACCAGCCTTTATTTTATTTGGGGGATTTTCTTGGCACTGCTGTGCTAAAATAATGTGGAAATCACCTTAATAGCAAAGTTTCAATTCCTTTCAGCAAGATAAATCAGAACACTAGAATTATTCTCCTATCTCTCTTTATATTCCAGAGATAGCTACACACACCCACATACACACAGAGGCATGAATATGTATATATCTGCACATACATATGGCTGTGGATTCATCCTTGTTTTACCTGAATTGACTTGTATCATCTTAATTAATATTCCCTTTGAGTTCACAGAAAACTCAGGAATTACTCTACGTGGTTTTCTTCCATCTAGGTACTTAGAGCTTTTCTTCTTTTCCCTAAGTCTTAAAATTATGCATAGTCTTTATCAATTACTTTCCACTTTCATTCCATTTGTTGGGTCTCTTTTGCTTTCATGTCCCTGACCCTTCAATAGGCGCTATCCTTTTGTAATCTCGCTTTCCATATTTTGCCCAGACCTTCTGATCCAAGCTCCCTTTTTACCAGCTGATGAGTTTGAGATGCAATCACAACAGTGTTCAAGTTGATGCCTGTTTCTTAACGAGATCAGATCATCTGTAGGTGGCTGCTTCTTGGAAACAAAAGATAAGGCTTAACTCTTCTGTGGAGGTGGAGGGATGCCGTCTGAGCGGCATTTGAAGGTGTGGTGAAGAGATACTGGGTTATATTTTTTCTGATGTTTCGGGATAACGCAGCCGTTTCTCTCAGAAATGGAATGAAGTGAATTTCCTGGTGTCCCCAGCAATCTACTTTCAGGGCCCCTGCCTAAGTTTGTCAGTGCTTTCTTCTTTGACCTGACTCTTATCAGTGTCTGATGCAGGGCTGGAGGTAGTAAAATGGACTCAGTAGAAGTTACGACAGTAGAAATAATAACAATAGTACCATCGACAACAATAGCAACTGCGTTACTGTTAACACAACTAATCTTTCCTGAGTCCTTGACACACATCAGAGGCCATGCTGAACACTCACCTCATCTGTGTTAGCTCATCTAACCTGACAAAAACCCTGTGGTATGCATGGGATTGTTGTACTCCTTTTACACGTGGACCCAAAGGAACACAGAGGTTAGGCAACTTGCCCAAGGATGCACAGTTTATCTCAAAGTTCTGTCTTTCCCCAGCCCCCAGCAATCTCATCCACCATACTCCCCTCTTCCCACTAGGAAGGTGAGGAACAGAAGTTAGTTAACTTGACCAAAACCATAAGCAAGACTCAGCTGGCGGTGAGACTGTACTGGAATGTAAGCCTGGACTTGCCTCTGAAGCACATGCTCTTAACCAATGCCCCATAATGGCACTTTAAAACCAACCTTGACACATTCTTTCTCATGTCTGCATGAAGTGCTCCTTAAAAACGGTTCATGTTGAAACATGGATGTGGCCGCAGCTGCCTTGCAAAATACAAGCCACAATGCTTCAAATGGCAAAGAGGATCTCTGTTAGCTTCACACTGAAAGAACGTGGCAGGGAGCCCACTGAACCTGGTGTGACACAGCCCAGGGAGAGAAGAGGGGCTATTTACGTCTTAGTAGCCGGCAGCATGGATAGGTGGAGAGAACAGCAGGAGCCGAGTCCATTAAATTCAGTTTGACCAATTCAACAAACATTTCCTGAGATCCAGCTCTGTAAAGCACTGTGCTACAGGCTGTAGGGGATAATGAGGAGAAGGAGACCCTGTCCCTGCATTTGAGAGACTAAGCATCTGGTGGGAGACTGACTGATGCATACACACAAAAACATACATGGACGGTGCAGTGGAAGGCTTTAATAACAGCTGGTATTTGTTAATCACTTGCTGTATACCAGGTATGCACACACACTCCCTTGGTGTCCTGCAACAACTGATGTGTCAGCTCTTGTTAGCCTTATTTTGTAGATAGGAAAACTGAGACTCAGAAAGGTCACTTAATTCACCCAAGCTTACACAGCTAGTGAGCAGAGGGGCCAGGCAAAAACATGGGCTTGAAAATACACACATGCTTATTAAAACTGTAGAGCAGAAATGAAGAGCTACATGGAAGATGAATCGAGAGAGACCAGTAGGAATCCAGACCACGAATGACCTACCTGCCATATTGACAGCATTCAGACTTTTCTATATTGGCAATGGGGAGAGAGTGAAGAGGTTTTTTGTTGTTGTTTTGTTTCGTTTTGTTTTGTTTTTTAAGATACGGAGTCTCACTCTGTTGCCCAAGCTGGAGTGCAGCGGCGTGATATCAGCTGACTGCAAGCTCTGCCTCCTGAGTTCAAGCAATTCTCCTGCCTCAACCTCCCAAGTAGCTGGGACTATAGGTGTACGCTGCCACACCCGGCTAATTTTTTTTGTATTTTAGTAGAGACGGGGTTTCACCATGTTGCCCAAGCTGGTTTCTAATTCCTGAGCTCAGGCAATCTGCCTGCCTTGGCATCCCAAAGTACTAGGATTACAGGTGTGAGCCACTGTGCCCAGCTCAGTGAAGAGTTTTAAGCAAGGAAGCAGCATGAGGAAGTTTAGGCAAAGTATTCTTGATGCCTAGTTGAGAATGGAGTGGAAGGAGTGTGAGTAGAAGCAGAAAGATCAGTTAGAAGGGCATTGTCCAGGTGGGATCGATATGGTCCAAATCAAGCCAGTGGGGATGCAGGGGTGCTACAGGAATGGGGCAATAACAAGGAGGTAGATGAGCTTGAGATGCTTGTGGGAGACCTGTGCAGACACACTGGACACAGGAAGAAAGGCAAAGATCTGAGAGTGCAGGCTGGGGGAGCGGAGTCAGTAGCTCACCACCAGAGGATGTGAAGTCAGAAAGAACAGTGGAGGGGGCAGAGGAGAGCCAGGACAATGTGCCACCTTGGAAGCCAAGTTGAGAGGGGTGCAGATGAGAAGCGTGGTCAATATTGTCTTATTCTAGAAAGTGGTCACACTGGATGGGAGTTGAGAAGAGGCGGCTTAGAAGATGTGCCTGACACTTGAAGGGGGAATGTTTCAGGACAGTAGAGGGGATGAAATCCACAGTCCAAGGGACTGGGCTGAGACAGAAGCAGACTCTGGGAAAAGTGAATATAGCCGACTCTTCAAGTAGCTTAGCAGGGAAAAGCAGGAGATAAACGGCAGTAGCTTGAGGCAAACTCAAACTTGAGAGAGGTTTGGGGTTTTTTTGTTTTTCGTTTTTCTTGCAGGATGAGGGAGATTTTAAAGTTTTTATTTAGTTATGGGTTGTTTTGGGGTAGATTTCAGCATATATCTACCTAGTAGTCTAGGGACATCTCTCAGGATGCCAGGCCTCCAGATGGCTTCCCTGCAGTGGTTTTAGATAGTAATGACATCATTGAAGGTGGGACAAGGAGTCTGTGAAGACAGAACTCACACAGGAACTGCACTACTGTGCTTGCTCTCTGGACAACACACACAGCAGGAATACCTGAGTGAGGGTCTTTAAGGAAAGACTGGCTCTAAAGGGGAGGCAGGTAACTGTGTCTCTACACACCTGGAGATGCCCCTGCCTCCTCCCACCCCAAGTGGCCTCCTTTGGCGTCTCTGCTCTGATCCATGACACCCTCTTGCTGCTGCTCCCCAAGATGCTGAACTTCCAAGCTCATTTACCATTGGCCAGGGAAAGAGAAGAGGAAACGGTTTCAGGCACAGCAGGAAGGATAGCAAAAGGCCAATATGTCCTCATATATTCACCACCACCTCCCCACCCTGGAGAACTAAAGGTGGTGCACAGTGAAACAGCCCTTGAACAACCGCCTCATCCACAAATGCTTTGCCACCCGGTTTGAAAGACAAATGAACCTCAAGTCCGTTCTTTCTTGATCACCAGGTAACTGCCAACATGCTGGCAAGAAGTAGCTCAAGCAAATTGCCTATTAATTGAACGTCGCTCAAGATGTAAAGTCCTAGGTTTCTTCATCAATTCTTCGAGATGGCTCCAGTTGGAGCCTCTCGAGGGTGGTAACTGTCGGGCAGTGGAAAACCAGCAGGGGAGCACACGCTGCCAGGAAGGAACACCTTTACTGCTATGTATAATGCTCCAGCAAAATAAAGCCATTTCTTTTCTTTTTTAAATTAATTAATTATTTTTTTCTAAGACTGCAATTGGGGCATGCACACAGAGACCAAGGTAGTTTCCAGTGTATTCCAAAAGCTATTTTATTATTTCAGTTACAAAAGGCTAAATCAAGGGGGAGAACACACAGAGACCAAAGTCACATTCTGTTCTCGGCCCTCATTCCATTTGTAGTATAATTCGTTTCTTTACATGCCCCCAAATAAAACATTTATTAAAAGTATGAAACAGAGGACCTTCTTTTTTTTTTTTTTTTTTTGAGACGGAGTCTCGCTCTGTCGCCCAGGCTGGAGTGCAGTGGCCGGATCTCAGCTCACTGCAAGCTCCGCCTCCTGGGTTTACGCCATTCTCCTGCCTCAGCCTCCCGAGTAGCTGGGACTACAGGCGCCCGCCACCTCGCCTGGCTAAGTTTTCATATTTTTTAGTAGAGACGGGGTTTCACCGTGTCAGCCAGGATGGTCTCGATCTCCTGACCTCGTGATCCACCCGTCTCGGCCTCCCAAAGTGCTGGGATTACAGGCTTGAGCCACCGCGCCAGGCCACAGAGGGCCTTCTAAGTATTAAAGATGGCACATTAGGCAACTTACGTACTGATATAAAGCAATCTCCAAGATCCATTATTACAGGTGGAAAAAAAAATCAAGGTGCAGAACAATGAAAAAAGGAAGATTTTTAAAAAATGAATACCAGTTACCATTTGTAAAAAAAAAAAAAAAAAAAGACAGTATATCTATGTAAATATATGAGTATGTGTATATACATAAATGTATTGTGCATTTGCTTATACTGTCTATGCATCCTTTGGAAGGATACATAACAAATGAAGAATGGACCTTTCTTCCAGGAACGGGATTAAGGCAGCTGGGAGTAGTTTGGAAATACATTGTTGTTTAACCTTAAATTAATATTAAATTAAAATCACAGAGGTAAGGCATGGTGGTTCACACCTGTAATCCCAGCACTTTGGGAGGCTGAGGCGGGCGGACCACTTCAGGTCAAGAGTTTGAGACTAGCCTGGGCAACACAGTGAAACCCTATCTCTACTAAAAAAATACAAAAAATTAGTCAGGCGTGGTTGAGGCACAAGAATCGCTTGAACCCACGAGGTGGAGGTTGCAGTGAGCCAAGACTGTGCCACTGCACTCCAGCCTGGGCAATAGAGCAAGACCCTGTCATAAATAAACAAACAAACAAACAAACAAACCCAGAGGAGGGTTCAAAAATTATTTTTAAAATAAACATGAAAAAGTACATGGAAACAAAAATAAACATGGTCAAATGAAAATGTCAGTCTTTCTCAATGGAGCGAGAGAGTGCTATGAACCTGGGGAATGGGCATGTTTGCAGTGGGTATGGTTAGGAACACATTAGGGAACCAATCTGTCAGAGGAGGCTGGAATCCTCTGCAGAGGCATGTCAGGCCGACAGCCTGTGGATGCTACCTTTGGCAGGTAATGGGGACTCAGCCTGCTTTGCAGGGAAGGCTAGTGGCATGCTCAGAACTGTAGCAGGAAGGTGGGTTAGGCGGGGGGAGGTAGGGCTGGGGTCTGAGGATGGAGCTGTGGGAGGGTCTCCCCAAGGAAGAAGTGATGGTCAAAGGGCATAACCATTTGTGAAACATACTAGGATGGATGTTGACTGACGGAATTTGAGGAGCTGAAAGAATATCCAGAGAAACCATCAACCAGAAGTTGGAAATGTGGGTCTTGGTCTTGCTCTTGACGGGGTGGTGGGGATAAGAGATTTGAGAAGAGTCTGCAGAGAATGAGAGGCAAAGACAGAGACAGGGAATGAGGTCTCCCAGGTGGGGGAAAAAGCACCGAAGACAAAGAAAAAAGATGGAGTGCGTCTGGGGTGAGGGGTCAGGGGAAGAGGTGGGAAAAGGAAATGAGACAATGGAGAAGGCTGGAGTTTCCCCCTTGAAATCCATCTTACTTGGATTTCAAGATGAAAATCTCAATGTGAAGAAATTAAAGAAGAAAGAGACTCAAAGGTGGAGTTTGGGGATACTGGTGACCTGCAAAGAAAGAATGCCGTGGGAAATGTAGGAAGAGGTCTTGGGAGGCATTAAAGCCAAAGTTACCTTTCTTTCCTGTGCATGGACTCATTCGGGACTTACTAAAATCCAAAATTCTAACCTTCCCTCCCACAAATCCCCGATTCTGCATTTATAAACAAGTGTCCCCACCCCCCAGCAATTCCAACATAAGTGACCTCCCAGAATACATTTAGACAGGGTGGCTGTTGAGGAAGGAGAGGAGGCCTTCTTCGCAAACATTCCAGGCTGGTGGTATTTTTGAGAAGGCAGCAGGGTTGAGGAAAGGCTTTGGGGGCTTGGGGCAAAGAGGCAAAAGCCAGAGGAAGGGAAGAGGTTGAAGAGGGCGAGAGAGGAGGTCCCAGAGGAGCAGAGGCCCAGAAGAGAAAAGATCCCAGGGACCAACAAGATGGCGGCTGGTGTACTTCCTGGAGACAGGAGTGAGCAGAACATGGGGAGACACTGGTTTTGGGGCAGCTGCAAGCTGAGGGGCTCAGGGTGAGAAGCCCCGTTTTCTCAGTGAATAAGGAACTGAGGTCACCTGCTGAGAATGGACCAGGGTTTAGAAGACCTGAGAAGGCTTGAAAGATGAGGTATTCTGTAGAGAGGGAACGACGAAGCCAGCTCACAGAGGACATTTCGTGCTGCGGGGGATGCTCATTCCTTCTTCCTCCCCTGAGAAGCATCTGCATTTCAGCATCTGGCTTTTCATTCCTTGGTTAAGATTTCATTTTTCAAGAACATTTAAACCTTCTCCTGTCAATAAATTACCCTTGTCATCCCTTCGAGATTGCCCTGCTTCCCTTTGCTGCTCTCTGCTTTCTTCCACATACATCTTCATCTCTGGTGCGATCTTCCCTTCACTCCAGCTTCTCTTTTTCTATTTTGTTTTTATAATACGTTCAATCATTTTCCACTTGCCTTTATCCCATGCCCCTGCGTTCGTCAGGCCCCGGATTCTCTGGTCCCTCCCTTTGTCACTTGAAGCCTAGCCTTCCAGGACCCGCTCAGTTCTCTCACACTTGCATTTTGGTTCCAGGTGTACGTCTGTCTTGCAAGCAGGACCAGCTACATAATTTGCAGGGTCCAGTGCAAAATAAAAATGTGGGGCCCTCTTGTTTAAAAAAATGACTAAGAATTCCAAGATGGTGACAGTGGAGGATGAGACCTAACGTGGGGTCCTTCTGAGCACAGGTTGCATGCCCACGAAGCCAACACCATGTGTAGTATTTGCTACTTTAATTTATTGTTTATTCACCATTCTCTGAACACTCTCGATATTGCCTCTGTCATCTCTAATGGCTACTTTAACTTGCCTGGTTTTACATAATATAGTCAACATGCTATAAAAACCAAATAAGACATTCCATTTTAATTACCCTGCCTTTTCACCATCTTTTTTGCTGATCTGGAAGAGTGACATGAGATTCTTTTCTAGGTCCAGCAGCCTACGGAAGTTGATGCTTGGGCGGTTTCTGCCATTCAAAGACCCTCAAAGTCATGCTGGGAGTTTCAAATGGCACTGAGACAGTTTCTCCCCTAAAAGAAGAGCTGGAGGAGAGGTGGGTCAAGTCACCCAGGCAATTATTTTATGGAACTCACCCAGGAAATACATACTATTCAGGGCGTAGCTCAGAGTAAGCATTCAATGTGGCTGGTACTCTTTCCTTGCTTGGCTCCAGCTGAGAGCCAAGATGCTGATATAAAGCAGAAGCACCATTCTAGTTTAGTGAGTTTCCTTCTTGATTTGAGGGATCTCACCTTCCCTACAGGTCCGTGGTTCCACCTGGTTGACATTCACTTCTGGTAGCCTCGTCCCACTTCCTTCGCGCCCACACCCCAACCCAAGAGTTAGGCCACCTACTTGTTGGTTTGCCTCTGGTGCTGAATGACCATGTTTTTCTCGTGGATTGTTTCCAACAGGGCTGTTGCCAGAGATTTCAGGTCAGAAATGGACTGCGGAGTAGCTGGGAGGCTGCATCCATGATCCTCAGATAGCAGATCCTGAACTAGATAGGATACAAAATATATAACTCAGTTGTCATTCTTCTGAAACACTGGAATGCAAACCAATGTCAATCCTTCCTGGATAATGATATGTCCCCAGCTTCAAAATGCGACTGTGTTGTATTGAGAGTCCACCTCAAGTGTCAACACAACAAAGTAAAATCCAGTGTGAGGACTAAACAGAAAGGAGGAAGTTCTCAGGACTTTTATCAGCAATTTTTAAGAGGATAATAATATTTGCATTTGTCTAGTATTTTAAACACTTTCATAATGACTAACACATAAAGTCTTAAAATTTGGGGAAAAGATACCCTACGGAATATTGATTTTTTCCATTTCATGGACAAAACAAGATGCAGATGGGTTAAGAACATTGGCTGAAGGTCACACAGCCATGCAAATGACAATGACTCCTAGCTCCAAGCACCTTGCTTTGTGTCAGTTTCCCACCATGTGATACCCCTGGCAGGTGATAAGATAATTTAGGAGATTATTTAAAGTTCAAAATATGTTTTATATTTTAGTAGCTATGCATTTGTTTGAAGGTATTATAGAAAAGGTTATATATGGCATAATAAACCAGTGATTTCACAGGTGCTACTACTTAGGATAAGGCCAAGTAAAATGAGTCACTTTAAAATCGACTTAAAGAAAAACATTAAGCAAACAATAGCAAGGTGGCACAAAGATATGGCAAAAAGATATATAACAGACTGCAAATAGCAAGTATCTAAATATTGGGAAAGAGTACATTATGCAAAATCTAGCTGTTCTTGGATGTTTGTTACTCCACAAACTGCCAAATCCCATTCACGGCCAAGTTCAAAATGAAAGCCAAACAACATACACAGTTCCATGTAATTGAAGGATTGAGACCCACATGAGAGAGACCCACCCCTTGTGCATATCCTGCCCTGGATGAGTCTGCTAACAAGTCTCCAGTCATCTAGGGATGGCTCTGATAGAAAATTATTTTTTTGTCTAGTTTCTAAAATGTATACTTGAAAAAAATTCCTAATTTTTACAAATACTTACAAATACATAAAGGGATATTACAGTGTGGTATACTAGTTTAGCACATAATAGGACTGTCACCTCCTTTATCCCAAATTTCCTACTTCTGTGAATAGAACGTAAGATTTCCTTAGCTTCTTTGGCAATAAAACACTATTAATGAATAATATGACAATACTATCTACTAAAACATCTGTGACTCTCTCACACGTGATGCTGTTACAACTATGTTTCCCCATTTATGCTTGGCTGGGCTTGAAATGGCTTAAATTGCTCTCAGAAACCACCAGCCCCATCCATAGCATGGCTCCAATCTACATCCGCAACTTCTGCTGCTTCTCCCACCGTTTTTTTCTGCCCTAGGGTCACTCAGGTGCTCCTGCGTATGTGTCCTTCCTGACTCCGAATGGCTGTTCTTCAAGTCTGCTTTGGGTATTTCAAAAGCACTCTTCAAAGGGAGATAAACTAAGAGTTAAACAAAAGGACAACCACCACTGGTATTCCTACCAGACATTAAAAAAAAGAAACAATATAAATCTCACAAATTTTATTTTCAAAAATGAAAAAAAAAAAACCCTGCTTTTTTCACTTAACAATATTATTCATCATTAATTTCCCTTAAAACATAAAATTGGATGGCTGCTTTGTAGTCCGTGTATAGATACAGAATTATTTGGCCGGGTGTGGTGGCTCACACCTATAATCCTAGCACTCTGGGAGGCCGAGGCAGGCAGATTACTTGAGGTCAGGAGTTCAAGATCAGCCTGGCCAACATAGCGGAACCCCATCTCTACTAACAGCACAAAAATTAGCTGGGCGTGGTAGCGCACGCCTGTAGTCCCAGCTACTCAGGAAGCTGAGGCAGGAGAATCACTTGAACCTGGGAGGCAGGGGTTGCAGTGAACCGAGATCACACCACTGCACACTGGGCAACAGAGGGAGACTGTCTCAAAAAAAAAAAAAAAAAGATATAGAGTTATTTTACTACTGCTGGACATTTATTGTGTTTTCAATATTTTTTATTATAAGCAATGTATTATAAGCAACATCTTGTAGCAAAATGTCTGCATATGTCTGTAATTGTTTTTTGTTGGTTCAAAGGGGGCCAGTTTAAGGCTTTCCACAGCACGCTGCCATAGAGTCACAGATTTCATTTACCAATACCAATAGATTCTTGATAGAATGCTTTTCATCATAGGTTTTCTAGAAAGGCTGTGCCAGATTGATGGTTCTGCCACAGTGTTTGAGTGTGGCTGGCATTCCCCACATCAATGATAACACTGGGTATCAACATTCAAAGATGGTTTGCTATATATGGTATCCAGAGCTAAACTTAGATGGGCTACTTCACATTTTTATAGAGTATTGTAGTTTTCTTTTGAAAAACAATTCTAGGGTGTTCTTTTCTGGTTGAGTGGAAAAAAGAAGTTGCTTGGAAAAGAGCCTTGGTTATTATGTAGGCTGGAGACTCAGCACTTTTTTTTTTAAGCCACTGTAGTGCTGATTAAGACTGCCATATGATAGTTGCTGGTCTGCACTATCAACAACCAAAAAGTGGGCCAGCTGAGCATGTTCAACTTGAGACATGTTTAGCATTGAATTCTGAATATTAAGTGTCAGAAGCCAGTGTGCTGCTATTTATTCCCCTGGACTGTTCCTGGAAGATCATTATTTTTCATTGGAATCGACGAGAAGGAGGAACAAAATTGCAATCAATAAAAGCTTCTTCAAAAAAGGCACATGTTATGTGAGAAAATGATTTCAGCAGCTAGGAGACTTTTCTGATCCTAGAGGCCAGGAAAAGGGGAAATTCAAGGAGGTCGAAATGCATCCTTGGAGATGCTGAATTGGTGATTAGGAAAGGGAGAACATTCTGGAAAGGCGAACACAATCTAGGGGAATATGCCCAAATGGGGTCTAGTCATTAGAAAAACCTCGAATGCAGTGGTTCCCAAAGTGGGGTCCCTGAACCAGCATCAGCATCACCTGGGAACTTTTTAGAAATACATAATTCTCAGGTCACACCCCAGACCTATTGAATCAGAAACTCTGGGGTGGAACCAGTAATCTGTGTTTTAACAGTCCCTCCCGGCAACTCTGATGCACGTGGAAGTCAGGGAGCCACTGTTCTATGGACCGCCTTGGTTCCCAGACCACAAAAGCAGCATCCTGGATGGGATGTGGCCTTGCAGTTGTAGTATTTTACGCTCATGAGTGGTCTTTCCTGGAGCATGATATCCTACCTTGCTTTGCAGACAGGACTCCTGTCAGAGCACTGCTGCTGGATTTACCCTGGCCCTTCGAGTTTTTCCGTCTCTCCAGAGCATTCTAAAACAGGATTGGGAGAGAATAAAAACCCGTCAGAAAAGTCAACAATGGAAAAGTACCTGGCAGATGTCTCCTCTCATCGGCACACAAGAACCCCTTGCAAACTCCAAGTGTTAGCCTAATATTTAGAATTCCAAGTCTATGCCCAAGAGTTATAATTTTTACAGCCTGGTAAGAAGACTTTTTTTTTTTCCAACAAAGGTGGTGCATGGCAGAATGATAGCAATTACAGTCCCCTGTATACAAAAAGCACTTAATACATGTTAAATTAAATCAAATCTGAAGCAAGAATGCAGCCTAACAAGTGAAGTCACTAGTAATGAAAATTCCTTCTGAATAGACATGAGATGGTGACTAGGTTTATTTTCATGCACCAACGGTGATTTCTGGAAGGAGAGAGAGCCATGATCAATTAGTGATGTCTGCCGTGGATACAGATTAAGGAAGTACATATGTGCCACCTACATGTCATTCCTAGAACAGACTTACATTAAAATTGATATGTAGCATCTAGTCAGTGCTTGGCACATAGAACTGAATAAATGTTGTTAAATGAATGCATCCACACATTTTTAAAAATTATGGATTAATTATACAACTTTAAAAGTTATATCCTTCTTTGGCTGAATGCATATAGATAGACTGGTATAATGTGTGGCCCCCACAAAATGGAAAGGAAGAACAGCATGGAGACTTGTGAGAACAAATGCTAATGTCAAAAGCCAGGAAAATAAGGTTCTTCCAAGTATCTAGATGGCTGTAAAACTTCACCCTCAGGAAGAGAAATCAATCTATTTTCCAAGCAGAGAAACCCAGGAGATTTTTCTAATTATAACACTTACAACTAACATCTGCAGAAATAGATATTATCAAACTAATGGTGCTGGAATTAGACTAAACAACAGTGGGGAGAATTTAAACATTCTGTCCTTGCAGTGTGACGTGAACATTATGGTTTAGACTGTGCCTTCCCAATCTTTGTTTCTTCATCACTCGGAAACCATTTTCTTATGGGTGATTATGAGAGAAATGGCATCTGATGAGTGAACATGTTATAGAGAAAACGGGTAAGAAACCTAATTGCAAATAGACCAAGGCTGTGTAATACACAAGTCCAGATTCTAGTGGAGAGGCTACCCCAGGCACTAAAACACATCCTGGGTGGGCACGCCTTGCTCAGATAACAGCCGCAGAAAGAGCTCTTGTGAAAAGCTGCTTTGGTTTTTTGTTTTGGAGTCTTAGTTTTTACTGGTTACCCAGTTAAAGCTCTTATTAGACTATCTGGGATGGCAGGCAAGTACTAAAATATCTTTGGCACATAAAAGGGAATTAAAATAGAATGACATTTAGATGCACAATAGTGAATCACCATCATTGTCATCATGATTTTGCTACCTTGTATTTGGCAATGTTTGATTTCAAGAGGTTGACCTCTTCATGGAGTTGCTTTAATCTCTCTTGAAGGTACCTGGAAAAGAATATATAAAACTAGGAAGTGTTTAAGGGCTAAATAAAAAACACACACTGAAGTATAAGAGGAAAAAACAAAAATCACTTGACAGAAGAGCTATCTTTTACACATAACACCTTGCCTGCTCACCAGAAAGGAGAAACACGTGCATGTTTGTGACCTTTTCTCAAATGAATGCAATCAAGGTCAAACATGCCCAAATCACACACACCCCACTTTAAAACAGCCCTCACAGAGATCCCCTAAGGGATAGCAACACAGTTTTCACATAATTCTCATTAAGACGATTCCACTGGGAAGAGAGGCAGGAAGAGGCGACACTAGACATAACATTAAGTTAGACACACACATACTGAAATTTGCCTCAGGGAAAAGAAATAGCTAAGGGAATTTCTCAATTTATTTTCTTATTCTTTTCTTTCTCCTTGATGGCAATAACAAGCAACTCTTATGGGTTCCTCGCCCTTCTCAACCTACCAAGGAAGGTGTAGGGAAAGAGAAGGGAGACGTGTGCAGCTGTGCAGGTGTGGGCTGTTTTCCTTTTTCACCTTTACAACTAATACATGGCATTGATGTCATCATTTTGGGGGAGTGAGTTTCTTTTCACTTGTAAGGCAATTTTTTCCAAAGTAAATACGGCTGCAAATAACTCCCAGCCTGCAGGCCTGTACAGAGCCAGCCTTCCTCCCACACACAGGCCTGGGCCTGGCCACTTGCCTGTTCTCCATACACAGGGCGTCCACGTCAATGATGCGGTTCTCATGCCCGCTCAGGATATGGTTCAGCTCCTGGTTGAGCCTCTCCACTTTGTCCTGGTAGGAAGACCGTTCTTCTTTAACGTCCTGAAGCTCGTCCACAGAAGCCTGCAGGTCATGCTCCAGAGACTCAATCTAAAACCACAGGGAGCACCCTTACCCAAGATGTTCCTCAGGCACCGGATTTATGGTCAGAGATGGAGCCTCCCACTTGGTTGACTGATTTTTAGAGAGTTTATTAACACTACCCGCTTGCCCTAAAACCATAAGCGCCACACACTGAAATACAATAACAGCTAAAAGTGAGGGATGACTTCCTGCCAGACACTTATTATATCTAAGATAGGAGAGGTGCAGCAGCTTGGACAACCAGAACTGAACCCTCGACTACTTCAGGATGCCCTGCAGCTGCCAGTGTCTTACAAATCCATACTTTTTCAAATCCACTCTAGACCCAGAAATCTTGTTCTGCTCTTCAGTTAGTAAGAGGAAGAAAATGAACTTTAGGTTCTCTTAGATGTTACCTAACTAGGGTTGAGATTTTGCACTTGTTGAGATTTTGCCTAAGAGGCATTGCTCAGCATTTTAGCAGAAACTTGCAAAGTAAGGCCAAGTTTGTCCTGTGTTGTTCTCTCCCTGTCTGTCCTGGGTAGGAGGAAAGTTTCTTGTTGTGTTCAGAACAATGGTACTCAATGGCAGGGAGCAGATCTGCCTGCTGGAGGCCAGAAATCCAAGAGTCAGCTTGGGACCCGAGTGCAGTGCCAAGGAAGTAAAAGCATTCAACGTGCATCCCAGCCACCCCACCCTCTGAGAAACGGGGGATACGGCCCACTCTTGTGTGTGTTGTGTCCAGCCGTGTAAACGCATCCCCGACTCTGAATAACGTTAGTGAGAACCTGTTCCTTCGCTCTCTCCAGCTGCTGCACCAAGTCTTCACGTTCATGGGCTGCAAAGTGTCGCACGCCGATTTCTTCGTCTCCCAGCCGCTGTTTGGCAATCGTCATCCTCAACAGCTGCATTTTCCATTGGTAGAAAAGAAAAAGGGACAGAGAGTAAACAGATCCAAATAAAAACCAAAGGACACTAAGAAACTTTTGGAAGGTAAGATACTTTCAAGAAATACTGGAGAAAGCACAAAACAAAGAAATTACTTGCCAGTATCATCAGTGTGTTTAAAAATGAAAAATATAGATTGTAGTGTACACATGTATACACTGTTTAAGGCCTGGACACACTAAGCTGGATGTCTGGTGGAGCACTGCTACTGGCAGGAAACAAACTCTGGTTCCCATTAAAATTTAGCAAAGATTCAAAAATGATAACCCAATGCTGAAAGATTCTGCTGAGATGGGCACACTCCCACACTCATCACAATGAGGTGACATTATCAAGAGCCTTAAAAGTGTCCCTACCCAATGATCCAGTAACTCTACTTTTGAAAATCTGGGCCAAGAATAATTCCAGGCTGCTAACTTTAGGAAAAAATGAAAAAGTAGATTGCACTGTTATTTAAAGAGTTAAAAAAAAAAAACACACAAAAAAACTAGAAACAATGTCTAACAATAGTGGAATGTTTAGCAAACTACAGTGCAACCAACCAAGTGGCTAATTTGCAGCTGTCTGAAATGAGGCTTATGTGAACTAGGTAACACCAGAGAACATGTCTATGATGCCACGTTAAGTGGGGGAAAAAAAGAATACTAATGCTTCTATGCAGTATGACTAAAATTATACTAAGAACTCTCTCTCTCTCTCTCTCTCTCTCACACACACACACACACACAGAGAGAGAGAGAATGACCAAATGCACTCAAATATTAAAAATGTATATATTTGGCTGGGCGCGGTGGCTCAAGCCTGCAATCCCAGCACTTTCAGAGGCCGAGACGGGCGGATCACGAGGTCAGGAGATTGAGACCATCCTGGCTAACGCGGTGAAATCCCGTCTCTACTAAAAAATACAAAAAACTAGCCAGGCGAAGTGGCAGGCGCCTGTAGTCCCAGCTACTTGGGAGGCTGAGGCAGGAGAATGGCGTAAACCCGGGAGGCAGAGCTTGCAGTGAGCTGAGATCCGGCCACTGCACTCCAGCCCGGGCGACAGAGCGAGACTCCGTCTCAAAAAAAAAAAAAATGTATATATTTTGGTGATGGTGAGACTGCTGCTATCTGCTTTTTACTTTCTAACTTTTAAAATATTCATTCACGGCATGAATTTCATAATATGCCTTTATTTATGTTTTAAAATCCTCAGGAATAAAATTGCAGTCTTCCAAAACATAATTTTCCAAAAGATCCCTGCAGAACCCATAGCTTTCCTGGACTCCAGAGCCAAGATCCACCTGCAGCTCCAAACCGTCTAGGTGGGGCTGCAATGGAAACTGTGTGAGAGGCCCAAGAAGACCCCAATGGTCTCAGAGCATCCCCTACCTGCCCATCACAACTCCAAGGATCGCCACTGAAGAGTGACTTTCAAAAGTTATGGCAGCGCTTTCCAATGTTTCTTTTATGGAGGTTTTAATCTGATTCCACGCCTCCCCATAGGGCAGATGTGGATGGCTTTCATATATGAACGGAAGCCTGAGGACAGTTTTTCACTGTCACACCGATCTGACCCAGGCAGGAGTGCCCGCGGGGGGCATGCTTTTCCTTGTTCCTGCATGAATCTTAAGGGATTCATTGCCAGTCGAGAAAATGGCTTAATTTTCAGAGTCTCTGAAGGATTTATGGGCAGGTGAGAGATAGGAAGTTAATTTAAGCCAAGGAAGAATATTAACTAAATTGAAATAATAAATAATAGCAAGGAACTCTAAAAGAAATGATGACTAAAGAAAAGTAAAGTACATTTTCAAATGACACTTACTTTGGGTCCCTATTTGAAAACTACTCAGTTGAACTCAACAAATATTCGCTGTGTCCCTACCAAGAGCAAAAGCACCATTGGGACCAGGTGGACAGTGTCCCGGGCAGGTGGAACAGACTGTGCAAAGGCAGGCAGAAGATGCAGGATGCTTAGATGTGCAGATGGCTGCACTTCCTGGAATCTGGTTACAAGCGATCCTCATTATCCATGGATTCTGTATTTGTGAATCTGCCTACTTGCTGAAATTTATTTTTAACCCCAAAATCAATATTTGCAGTGCTTTCATGGTCACTGTCAGACACGCAGAGAGTGGCAAAAAATTACAGTCGCCCGACACACACATTCCCATGGAGGTCAAACAAGGCCACATTCTGCCTTCTTGTTTCAGCCCTTGGACTGTAGACAAACGTCCTTTTCATGATCTAGTGAGTGCCACCACATTTGTCACATTTTTGTGCTTTTCATTGGTGACTTTGCTGTTTCAAGTGGCCCCCACACATAGTGCTGAAGGGCTGGACGTGCTTGCACTTAAGTGTTATCAGTGCAAGAAGGCTGTGAAGCGCCTGATGGAGACAATATGTGTGTTACAGAAGCTTCCTCCAGGCATGAGTGACAGTGCTGTTGAACTCAGTTCAATGTTCATGAATTAACTGTATATGTCAAATAAGGTGATGTTAAACACAGACACACATAAAACAAGGTTATGACTGATCAGTTGACAAAAATGTTGTGACCAGAGGCTTACAGGAACCTAACCTTGCATTTCTCCTAGGAGCAATGGTTCGGTATTCACTAATCCAGTAGTTGGCAGTGACTCCACAGAACAAATATGTAGCAAAACTGGTAATTCCACTGAAAGCTGATATACAAAAACTCTATTACATCACACAACTCTTGGCTTGGGACATCAGAATCCCAAAAGTGGATACACAGGAAGGCAAACAGCAAGACAAATAAAAAAAAAAGTCTATCAGATCTGAGGGTCTAGAAACAAGACAACTCCTGGCTTTCAGTACAAGGCCAACAGGAGGCTCAGGTCGTGTCTTTGAAAGCAGGGTTTTTGGTCTATGAAAAGCCATACTGACAGCCTGAACTTTAAGTAATAAAACACTGTGGTTTTCTATTCCCAATATGCTTCACTGAGCACTTAATTTAGAATTGCACAATTATGTTTGCTTAATGCCAATTAATTATTAAACATGTTTATTGAGGTCTGACAGCCATATAAGAGAGTCATCGTTTATATATTGGATGCCTGTTAAGCTTCAATAAATACGTTAACAATCATTTGGTGTTTAATGTGCATACAATATCGGCTGTTAAATCTCAGGGCTGGACTGGTTGAAACACTTATTTTTAAAAGTGAGGCCCAAGTTGGTAATAGCTGGATCATTAGTTGGGTCTGAAGCTCAAGTGCAGTCAGCCGAGGGGGTCTAAGAAGTCACTGCAGGGGAGACAGCAGAGCCCCAGGGAGAAGGCTCCTGCCTTCCCAGCTGACAGCTGATGTGTGCTGGAGTTGGCCCACCTAGGGCCTGCATCCTGGTCCCACAGTCTGTGAGCTGTGCAACCTCAGGACCTTGTCTGAACTTCTTGGAGTGTCAGTATCCTCCTCTGTAAAAACACAGCAATAAAAGTGTAGCCTCAGAGAAGTGCTGTAGGCATGAAGTGAGAGAGCAGGGTTGAGTTAAATGAACACTGAACTCAGGGGAGTTCAAATACTCATATATACGAGTTTGGGGATTAAATAGAAGAGGGAAGAGAGGATGACAGAGAAATAAACCAAAACATTGGGTGATTCTCCCAATTCCTATGCTCAATATCCCTGCTGGAGAGTGAGGGGGAGAGGGTGACTGATAATATATTTATGCAAAGTCACACTGTTCTATTTTTACATAATACCACTATTCCGAAGCATACATACACCATGAAAGTTTTGGACAATTTCAAAGGACAATCGGGGGAATTTTGGCTACATACAAGTTTCTGCCTCTTAACGTGCTGACTTCAGAACCTAACCCTAAGTAAGAAAAGACGGGACTTCTCTTCAATGCTTAGCACAGGCCCTGGAGTATATACTGTGTTTAATAAATAATAAATGTTAGGGGCTCTTATGATTATTGTAATTATCATCATCATCCTCCTCCATGTATGTTTCCCCACACAGAAGCCCACTAGGGAAGTCCGACCTTTCCTGTAAGCTGGAGAAAGCAGAGCTCCCGAGCCAACCTTATCTGTGTAGTGCAGGCAAATGATGTTGATTTTCCACCTTGGAAAATGGCTATGAAGCAACTGCTCAGGGCACTTAATTTCCTCAAACAGCGCCATCAAAACTGCACAGCCAGCCTCCCTGTGCCAAGCCACAAAGTGGATCAGTGCCTTGCACAGCACCCGTGCCGCCGCCAATAGACGCATTCAGTTGCTGATTTAGATAGAAATAAATGTTTATGAATGAATTATGGGTGTGAGTCGTCAGCTTGCGGATGAGGCGCAGCTGCAGCTGGGAAGTGGCTGAGGGACATGGCCGCAAAACAATGTGGTAAAATGGCTTCTGGGTGCCCTGCCCCCAACTCTGCCAAGAGCCTGCTCAATCCGTCCTCCATGAAGCCTGCCCAGGCCTTCCAAGTCGGAATGACTTGCTCCTTCCTCGATCTCTTCTCAGCCTTCGTCTCCCACAGTCCTCAACATTCTCTACCTCATCCTATTTTCATTTACCTGAATCTGTTTTACCCAACAGTGAGAGGCAGCCAGGTGCAGGAGCAGCTATTCTCTGGGTATTATCTACATTCAGATCCAGCTTCTACTAATCCTAGCTATGTGCCCTTGGCAAGCTCTCTAATGCTGGGGGGCTACATGTGACTTGTTTTTGTTTTTGTTTTTTTTTAAAAAAAGGATAAAATCTATCTTGTAGGCAGGACAGCCATGTATGGCTGCCCAGGCTGTGCACTGCACAACTCCATCTGTGGAGATCACATTACCACAATGGGAAGATACAATGCAATGATCATTGTCCATGTAACTTCATGAGCTTTCAAAGTGCCATCCCCAGTTACAGTTGGTATAGGTACAGTTCTTATACAGTGGCTGTCAATTTGCCAGAGCTATTGAGAGGGTCAAATGAAAGAATCATTAACAGGAAGTGGAGGCTAGCCCTTC